AGGAGTATACAACCAAGACCACTCTTTGAGTGAAGGCAGATAACGTAACTCACAAAATTTTTCTATTCCTCCTTGAGAGTTTTGACCATAGAGATCTACCTGAAAAACGAACAGTAGGAAGTTATTCCCTAGAATTGCATTCTTATCCATCCTCTGAGGATGAGGAACTGCACCCTGCTAATCAGAGGAGGCATTCCTATGGGGAGACTGAATGTCACAGTTATACCCAAGGATTCTGCTCCATCTAAGGTACAGGCCACGCCCCCCTGTATCTGACCAAATTGGCTGGATATGAACCATGTGCCCCAGCAGAACAGTCCTGGAAGGTTTGGGTTGGACAGGCAAGAGTGTGCCTGGGACAGTGGAAGGTCCCTTAGGCAGACAAAGTGATGAGACGATCAGATAAGCTGCTCAGCTGCAAAGGCAGCACATTTCCTCATAAAGGCAAGGTCAGATGTTACTTGGCAAGAGTCTTTGCAAACTTTAGCTCAGATTTTTTTGGGGAGTAGTGGATCAGAAGACCTTGATGCTAGCTTTGTCTTTAATGTGGTTATTGTTTTGTCCTTTGTTTTTGAAAAGGACCAGTGACATCATGGAGTGGTCTTGACTTGTGCTTGTGAATTGGATTGAAGTGAGGCAGAGTTGCACAAAGTCATCAGCCTTACTCTGTCTTCCAGAGTTACCGAAGTCTAGCGTCAAGATAAAAATCAAGATGACTGCTGATGGCCCGGGGTGCAGTGGATGACTTTGGCATCTTCAAAGTCTGATCAAGCCTGAAGCTTCCACAGCACCTGTTTCATTCACCTTCGTGGCCATTGGAACTGGTCTCTAATACTGCGCAGCAAGAAGAAAAAACCCTATTGGCTTCCTTCTTACAGTGGAACAATTCAGTGCCTGACCCTCATGCATCTGGTGTCACCAGATTGATGCAGACGCGGAAATTGTTGCCATGATGGTCAAAGTGAGGGAGGTGCTCCTGAATTTCATGGGTCAATATAGCCCACAGGGCTCACCTCAGCATGCTCCGGGCTTTCTCAGATGAGGGCCACAGGGGCAAAGCTGGACAAGAGCATCACCTATGCTGAGCTGTAGTCCCAGAATCTGAGACAGTCAGGTAAGAGAGAGAGCAGTGCACAGTCCTATCGGACTTGGAGAGGCAGAGGACCGAGGAAAAGGGCGTGGAAGCCTGACATAAGACCACTTTTTGTTGTAATTGTGGAGTAGATGACCATCATTATATTGGATGCACTAGTAAAGAGAATGCAACCTTGGTCATAAAGAAATTCTGATCTCCTGATCTAGTTTCCAAAAAATTGGAGTGGAGTCAAAGAAAGAGCTCAGCCTGAGTCCCAAGAACAGTCACACTGACCTCCTCATCAATTCCCAATGGGTCTGTTCCTCCTGAATTCATTAGACCTTGTGCAGAGGTGATAGTAAAAATTGAGAATGTGGCTTGCAGCGCTGTCCTGGATAGTGGACCTCAAGTTACCACCATCTTCTGTTCTTTTTATGACATACGTTCAGGTAAAATGCCTTTAAAGTCTATGACAGGGCTAGGACTTGCTGGCTTTCACGACAAAGACTGTCCATACCTGGGATACATTCTGGTAAGCCTGAAGTTCCACAAGGAAGTTGTTGGTGTCAATAGAGAAGTGGATGCTCTGGCACGTCCAGACTCTTCAACACTCACTGGAGTACCAGCGCTGATTGGAACTATTCCTGGTTTTTTCAAAATTCTTGTAGGATCCCGCACATGACAATCTGGGATTCAATACCTGCACATTTTGACCATCTGTGCAGACTTTGCAGAGGCTTAAAAGATACTGGATGGTGGCAAGAGATTCCAGTGAACATCAAAGGAGCACCTGCTGTTCACTCTTTGCACTGGAACCCAAGGGATTTGACCCTGGGGACTCCAGCAGCACAGGAGTGGCAGGATATGTTGGAGCTCAGAGAGAGGACCGGAATGTTCTCACTGTGTAGTGGGATGTGCTGGAGGTGCAACCCGTAGAATCTAGCTCACTGGCTCCAGACCATTCAGAGAAAGATCCAGGAGGATTCCTCCATCTGTGATGGAGGATCTCAGAAACCATCTCTAGGAGATGCTGCCTAATGGCATCACCCCGGAACCTAGCAATCCTTATGCGTAACCCACAGTGATGGCGCCTAAGTGGAAAGATACAGATGCGTGTTAATTACCAAACTTTGAACACAAGGCCTAAAGTGGACCAGTACATGATGCCATGGGTATGAGATGCCTGGGATTATCTGCCAGGCAGCCAGTGGCAGCCACTCTTGGACTTTTTAGCAGATAATAACAAATTACTATGTCTGAAAAAGATAAGGGTAAGACTGCTTTCATCATTCAGGGGACTCACAAGTTAACTTATCTGTGGAAAGCTAACCCGCACACTTGCTTGTTTAAATAATAGTTCCAGAGAATGGAGGAGGGCACAGCAGGACTATTCACCACAGTTGCCTATTGCCCATAGGAGAGTTAGTTGGACTTTCTAATGGGGAGAGATCATGGGCACTGACCTGGGGAAAGGCTGAGAAAGAAACTTTCTGGCCCAGAAATGGGCATCAACAGTGATGCATTTGAGGAAACTGTGTGTACTGTTACAGGAGAGAATTGAACTGAACCCAGAGGCAACTCCTTTTATGCCCAGAATTGTTACAGAAATGCCTAGGGTACACGTTCAACCCACAGAGCTTGGATATGCTGATAGCCAACCTGGAATGGTCAGCACAGCGGCGACACCCACATCTATGAGGACCCTAATGCTTAGCTGATGTCAGCTATTAGCTCTGGTAAGGGAGCAGAGAGATCAGTCAGTGGGGGGAGATCCAGGCCTGTTACACCAGTTACCAGGTCAGCTAGGGTGTTACAGGTAAACCTGAAGATATAATCACACGTGTCTCTAGGGAATGATGCTAGAGATGGCTTGTGTGACATTTGCCTTCCATGTAATTGTGTGTTAATTGCTATACGTGTGACTTTCTTCTGTTTTTCTTTTGTTCTTATGTTTATTTGACAATTTTGTGCTATGTTCATGCTATCATAAGGTCTGCTGATTGTTTTGCACGTACACTACTGGTTGTTTGTTGTTTTGTTGTTTCAATCAGGTCTGACTCATGACCCCATTTAAGATTTTCTTGGCAGAGATACTGGAGTGGTTTGCCATTTCCTTCTCCAGCTCATTTCATAGATGAGGAAACTGAGGCAAACAGCTTGAAGTGACCTACCCAGGGTCACGTACCTATGGAGTGTCTGAGGCTGGTTTTGAGCTCAGGAAGATGTCTTCTTGACCCCAGGCCTGGCACTCTATCCAATGTGCCACCTGGCTGTCTCTAGATTCAATTAGTATTTTACATATAGACCTATTGGAATTGTAATTGGCCAGCTCTGCTTTATAGGTAGCCATGATTCCTGCTTTTGATCTTTGCTGTGTCCTGTGGACATGTATGTACTTCCAAAGTGTGCCCGGGTTGTAAGTCCTATGTGTAGTGAGGCAGGTTGTCACTCCCATTGCCCCCAAATGACAAAGCAGTCAGAAATTAGATGGAACCCAATCATATCATCTAGATGAATAATATTTAAGGGAGTAGATGTATTTCTAAGCCAGTACTCCCTCTCTCTGAGGAGAGCAGAATGGTGGTCTCTGGCCTCAACCTCCTGCCTCCCTTCCTGGCGGGAAAGAAAGAGAAGGGTGGGGGCAGAAGAGACAAGCTATCTGTTCTTCCTTCCTTCGAGTCGCACGCACAAGGAGAGTTCCTCGCCACTAGCCGGCATCTCTGCACATGGGGGGCCTGTTTCTGCTACAAAGAACGTTTAACAAAGGCTTATTTTCAATAAAGGATATTACTTTAAAAAATTTTTACTATAAAATCCTCAATAAAGAATATTACTCAATGAAAAAGTGTGTGTGTGTGTGAGTGTGTGTGTGTCTGGAATTACGTATATGTATTTTTTTTCTTGAAGAAGAGGTACAATGGAGTGGGCATCACAATATTTCAGGGGTTCCATGGACTTCATAATAATAATAACTAACATTTATATTGTACTTACTACGTGCCAGCAACTGTGCTAAGCACTTTACATTTATTCCTTACAACAGTCCTGGGAGGTAGATACTGTTATCAACCCCATTTGACAGATGAGGAAACGGACACGAACAGAGCTGAGGTGACTTGCCCAGGGTCACACACCTAGTAAGTGTCTGAGTCTTCCTGATTCCATGCACAGCACTCTATCCACCAAGTCACCTACCTCTCCCTCCTCCTGTCTGCCTTGATTTCATTGAAAAAACTCTCCCAGGGGAGAGAAACCAGTGAAGCTCTCAGAGGCACAATGGAGTGAATTATTAGAGGCAGTTAAATGACATAGTCAATAGACTGTTGGACCTAGAGTTAGGGGGACCTGAGTTCAAATCCTGCCTCACACTTAGCAGCTGTGGGACACTAAGGAAGTTACTTCACTTCTCCCAGACTCAGTTTCATTATCTACAAAATGGGGATAGTAATAACACCTGCCTCCCAGGTTGTCGTGAGAAGCAAATGAAATGCCATGCTTGAAATGCTACATACATTGACTATTACTTATCTGTTTTATGTTACCTGATACTGTCAATGAATTACATTGGGTGGTTTTGTCCACCCACTGTGCGTAGCCTGAGATTGAGAGGTGATAGTCTATCTCATGGGAGAAATGATTTCCCTGGTTCTATTCCAGGATGGGGCTGAGATGAGTATAGTTTCTGCAGTTTTCCAGAGGATATTCCCTAGCATGTCCATTAAAATGCCTTTGAACCCGGGGAATGAGAGACTTGATAGGGAGATGAGCCAGTAGCAGAGAGTGGTGGGGGTTGGTGTCTCTGTCCCCCACTGAACCCAACGGGCATTGTATCACATGCCTTCTCCCCACAAGAGCTGCAACAGCAACTCCAGTGATTGATGTTAACCCTAGCAGGATGTGGAACCTGATGTATTTGCACAGCATGGGCCCAAGGTGCCCCAGGCTTACCATTAAGGCTGTCTCAGCCTCATGGGCTCCTGGCCCTCTCTGAAGCAGTCCTCAACCATGATTCACCTTCTCTTACTGGCCTTCCCCATCAGCCTGGGAAAGTCCTTGGGGGAGACCGAGCTCTCACCTTGCAGCCTTGGCAGCCTGAGCCAGTGTTCCTCAAGGACCTGCCACTCTCAGGGTCTGGGGACCTTTCCAGGCTGCCCCCTTTCCCTCCTCAGCACCCAGACCTCGCTGGTCAATGGAGGTGATGATTGGCTCTTCCTGGGATTGGCCTGTCTCAGCCCTAGAGAATCAGAAGTGACAGCATGCCCAAGGAGGCTTCTGGCTCTACCAGTCTGGGATTCTCAGGTATGGAAGCAAAGGCTTGGGGTGGGGATGCCATTCTCCATGCCCAGGAAGAACCACAGGGGCTCTGAGAGAGGGAGAAAACACCTTCCTTTGAGGAGTGGGCTACATTTCACCTGGGAGGGGGAAGCCTTCCTACTGAGCCATTAATGGAATTATAGAACTTCCCCCTCAGAGGTGCCCTCTGTGCCAACTCAAACTCCACTGGACGTCTCCTTCACCACCACTCAGATGCTTCTTGGTCAGAGGGCTCTAATTGTTAGGGTGCCCTTACTTTCATCAAGCTGAAGTCTGCCGCTCTGAAATCTTCCTCTTCCTCATTTGCCCCTCGGAACCACACAGACCACATCTTTGTTGCCACAGCAGCCCTTCATATCGTGAAAGCCTTGAAAGGCTAAACGGTAGGATTTATAATTTATACTCAAGGAACTGGGGAATATTGAAGCTTCTTGAGCAAGGCCAGTGATTTTGTTGGAGCTTTGATTTAGGAATCTCCCTTCTGTAACCCTGTGGGGCATGGATTGGAGATGGGGAGAGACCAGAGTCAGGGAGGCCCATTAGGAGGCCATTACAACATCCCAAGTAAGAAATGAAAATGGTCCTAGCTTTTTAGTGGTTGGGCCTACCACCTAAGACCCTGGGCCTTTATGAAATAGGAGGGCTCAATGAGAGGTGTTCTCCATTTTACTTGTTTCAAAGTGGAAAAAAAAGTGAGTCCCAGGCATCAAGGGAGGAGGTAGCAGTTCCGGCTGCCACATCCTGGGCCCAGCCCCTAGCTCTCCTGCCTCCTCATCTTTGCTCAGTTAAAGTCAGCAGCTCTGGACTGGACGGAGGGCCCAGCATGTTCCACATGCTCATTCCCTCACTCTGCCTTGGTAAGTCTGGGCCTAGTTTAGGGCAGGGAGGAGGACGTTGGGGGAAGATCATTGGTCAGCAGCTTTCAGGTCAAGAGGGACACTGAGACTCAAAGAAAAGTATCCTGGACACAGCAGAGGTCAGATATCTCCGGCTCGCTCCTCTGTCCCTGACCAAGGATGAATTAATGAGGAAAAAGCCTTGTGGGCAGAGGTATGGAGGGGCAGCTGGAGGGCAAGACATCTGCAATCTGGCCTTCTCTTATAGGGCTAGGCCTTGTCTGGGCGACAGAGGTGCCGAATGGTAAGTCCTTTTCCCCAAACTCTTCCTCCTATAGCCTAGCTCGGCCACAGAGCAGCCCCTGAGCCATTGGGATGGCAGGACAAAGGTATGTGGGATGAATTGATGGAGTGATTGTGGGAGAAGCCTGGGAAACTGGATCTGAAGGAGCCAATGAGGAGAGAGTGATCCCAGGAAACCCAGGCTTGTTTTATCTCCTAGGTGTAGTCCCTTAGACCTCCGCCTTGGGCTAGACCCAGCTCTGTGGTCTTTTGGGAGAAGCTGTGACCCACTGGTGCCAGGGGCCACTGGAGAATTGGCTTCCAGCTGCTGAAGGTGGGAGATGGCAGAGTCCAGAGAAGTTCCAGTAGGCAAGAAACTGACCTCTCCCTTGGAAGAAAGGGAGTCACTGCCATGTAGAGACTTAGGGCTGCCCCTTTGGGCAGGAGATCTGATGGTCAGAACTAAGTGACCCCTTGCAGTGCCTGGTGACACATGAGGGTGAATGAGCCTAGAACCTTCTCGGCCAGTGCTGGCTGCCCTTCTTAAGAACTCTGCCCAAGAGACAGCTTTGTCTCTGATTTAGTCCCTAACCCTGACCTCCTGGGGTGGTTGCTCCTGAGGCTTTGTGGCTTGCTACCGGCCCTTTTGTCCTAACTCGCAATACCCACATCTGTGTATTCTAGCCCTCATGTTCCCTGTCTCTTCAAGCCCAAGAGAAAGGAAATTGCTGCTCCCCTTTTGTCCAAAGGGACCCAAGAGAACTAGTCTTTCCTTTAAACCTCTGGCCCTGTCTACTGGGAACAGCAAACCTTTCCACTGAGTCCTTTTCTAACACAGGAATCCTGTCACCTCCCTACAGCCCAGCCTTTCCTGGAGGGAGAACAATGAATTTGGGGTTAGGGGCCCTTAGTTTAAAGTCTCCCTCTTTCTTTCACTCTTGGTACAGCCTTGGGTAAATGTCTTCACGTGTAAAACAAAGGGATTGTACGAAAGGGGCCTTTGAGCTCTAGATCAGGCATCCCCGGGGCCATCGTCGTCTTCCGCTTCTCCCACGTTCCTGTTTTCTTGCTTGGTTTCCCTCACCTTCTGCCTTGGCCCCCATGGTTTCCTGTTCTTGGAATGCCCTTGCCAGCTGTGTCTGCCCCAATCCCACCTATCCCCAGAGCCCAGCTTAGGTTCTGTCTCTTCTAAGCAGCATGAGATGGTAGATGGGGAGCTGGATGAGAAGTCAAGAGGACTTGGGTTCCAATCCTGCCTCAGACATTTTCTAGCTCTGATGCCCTAGTCAAGTCATTCACCCTCTCTATGCCTCAGTTTCCTCATTTTTAAAATGTAGCAGTTGGCCTTGAGGACCAGCCCCAAATCTATGATCCTATGACCTTCCCTGATGGCTCTCATCAATAACAATGTCCTTCCACGGTTTGCTGGCTGCATCTCTGTCCTGTATCAAAGGGTAGCAGGGGAGATCAGGGAAGCCTGGATTCGCTGGAATGGAGCACAGTCCATGGTACTGAATGCATGCTCTTGCTATAGGCTGAGACACACGAGTTTGTGAGCTGCTCACACAGAGTATGTCTGAAGTGAATATGAACTCGGTGTCCGGGAGTCTCACACAGCCTTCTGGTTGGAGTATGCCAGTGATGGGCTATTGAGATATTCATGACTCATTCAATTGTTCTTTGAATCTTTTGCTTCTCATGCAGTCTCAGCAGTGGGAGAAATAAACAGCTGTTCCCCCTGGACAGCCATAGTGAGTACTTTTTCCAGAAGGGTCCCTTTGATTGGCTTTTGGGGAGACTCTAGGCACGAGTGATACCTAAGCTTTATCTGAGAGATTTTGCCAGAATTCTAATCCAGGGTAAAGCCAGTCAGAAAGAAACCTACAACCACCTCCCTTCTGAGATTAGTACCCCTGATGCCGGGACTGAACCTAGCTTGTGTGAATCCCTTGTTGGTGAATCATGTGGGGTGTGAGGGGTTGATTTGGAACCAATGCTTAGTTCTTATTCCTTTGAGGGGAAAGATCCACAAGTCTTTGGGGCTCATCTGAATTTGCTCAATTTCTTTTTGAGTTAGTGTGCTTTTTCTAGTATGGGGTGAGTCCAAACCTCCCTCTGCATTTACTGGAATCCATTGAAAAAATTTATTATTAGGTAACAATGGTGTGTGCATGTGTGTGTGTGTGTGTGTGTGTGTGTGTGCATGTGTGTAGAATTCTCACCCAGAACTGTTTGGTTTCTCGCCCAAAGGTGAGATCTTTTGGGTGATCTCAGCTCCCAAACCTCTGCTGTGAGAGTCTCATATGGTCTAGGAGTTCTTGGAAGGTCTCCCAGTCTAGTAAATCATAAGTTTCTCAGACTATGGCTGCCACCTAATGTAGGGTCCAATCTGATTTTGAGTCTACCATTCTGTGGTACCATGGAGAGAGAGCAGTGTGGTAGTAGGAGGCTGAGAACCAGAGTCTAGACTGCAGATCTCTGTTTCTTCCAGGTGGGGTTCTACAAAGGGCTGAGGATGGTGTTCTGGGGGCCAGCTCTAACATCTCTCCAATATATCCCCCTTCTCTCCTCTGCCACTGCCCGCATCCTGGTCTAGGTCCTCACACCTGAACTATTATAATAGCTGCTGGGGGCGGGGGGAGTCTGCCTGCCTCTTCTCACTCCCATCCATTCTTTCCTCAGCTGTCAAAGTAGTCTGACCAGGTCACTCAGTGAACTCCAGTAGCTCTCTATCACCTCCAGAATCATCTATAAAATTCTCTGTTTGGCATCCAAAGCTCTTCATAACCCTGCCTGCTTTCCCCAACCTTTATGATTTTATTACACCTTCCCACCCTTGCCCCTACCCCATATATTCTTTTATCCAGTGACACTGGCTTTGTTGCACTTCATTTACCAAGATACTCACCAAGTCTCCCTCCCTGTTCTCTCTCCTTCTCTCTCTTTCCCTCTGTCTCTCTGTCTGTCT